GGGCCACGGCCAAGTCAGCGGGAGCCTGGGAAGGTCTGCCTGTTCTTTGGCAGGTGAATGGGCCGCTGGGTACAAGGTCCCCTGGGAGAAGCGGGGAGATGGGTGCCGGCGCGGGTGGATGGGGACCAATCAGGGGGCCTGGTCTGGGAAGCTTGGCCCGAGCCATCCCTCAGGGCTGTGGACCTGTCCTGCCCCCAGGCTCCTGGTGGCGAAGCTGACCAAAGACGGGGGCCTCGCCCTAGCCGGTGTGGCTCAATGGATAGAGCGTTGGCCTGTGGACTGGAGGGTCCCGGGTTCGATTCCCGGTCAGGGCACATGCCCGGGTTGTGGGCTCGATCCCCAGTAGGGGGCGTGCAGGAGGCAGCCGATCCATGATTCTCTCTCATCATTGATATTTCTCTCTCTACCTCTCCCTCTCTGAAATCAATACAAATTTTAAAAAAGACGGGGGGCCGAACCGGTTTGGCTCAGTGGATAGAGCGTTGGCCTGCGGACTCAGGGGTCCCAGGTTCGATTCCGGTCAAGGGCATGTACCTTGGTTGCGGGCACATCCCCACTGGGGGGCGTGCAGGAGGCAGCTGATCGATCTCTCTCATCGATGTTTCTGGCTCTCTATCCCTCTCCCTTCTTCTCTGTAAAAAATCAATAAAATATATTTAAAAAAAAAAAAAAAAAGACGGGGGCCTCTGAGAAGGGTCCCTCAACTTCTGCCCACTGGCCCCCGAGGCCCCGGAAGGCCAGCCCTGCCCTCCACCCCGGCCACGCACTTGCTGAGCCCGTGGATGCAGCCCGCCAGGTCCTTGGTCATGGCTCCGCTCTCCACTGTCTGCACGCACACCTTCTCCAGGGTCTGGGAAAACCTGCAGGGGGTGGTGCAGAGTGAGCCCTGGGCTGGGCAGCATCCGGCCCAGGACCTGCCCCGGGGCCGGCGCAGCCCCTCTTCCGGGCTCACCTGATGAGGTCCTGGTTCCCGTCCAGCTTCCCCCGGTGCTCCAGGCCCCGCGTCCAGGCGAAGATGCTGGCGATGGGGTTGGTGCTGGTCGGCCGGCCCTGGGGGCAGCGGGCGCAGGGGAATTAAGAGCCCAAAAGCCAACAAGGGGGTAACCCGGAGGCAGCTTCCCACCCCTCGACTGACAGGGCCAGGCCCGTCCCCCCAGCCCGTGTGGCACGCTCCCCACGCGTACCTTCTGGTGCTCCCGATAGTGGCGCGTGACTGTCCCGTGAGCAGCCTCAGCCTCGATGGTCTTTCCGTCGGGGCAGACCAGCACCGACGTCATCAGCCCCAGGGAGCCAAAGCCTGAAGCGTGGGAAGAGCCTCCTCTGAGTGTGGGCGCCCCGCCTCAGGTCACCTGGATCCAGCCCACCTGCCTTCCTGCCGTCACTCAACTTATGACTCCGCCCACCCTGGGGTGGGGGGCAGGGCAGGCACTGTTCCTGGTTTGTCCACCCTGGTCGTGGGACTCCAGGGCCCAGCACAGGGCAGGGGAGCACTCACAGGTGGTGAGAGCTGGCCCGTTAGCATAGACAGGTTTTCTACTCCAAACCTACCCTTTTGCAAATCTAGTTTGCTTTGCAAAAGGGTGAATTTGCTTTGCAAAAGAGTGAATTTGAAGTGGAACACCTGCATCTGTGGCCCCACCTCCAGGTGTCCCACAGCCCGTGGGCCCTGGGGCCCCAGACCCCACAGAGTTCTGCGCACCCAGCCCCGCCCGTGGCCGGGAGGCACGTTGGAGCAGAAGGAAGGAAGCCTGCTGGCAGCACTTCCCAGCGACCGCTTTTATCTGCTGCTCTTTCCGGCTACTTGCAAGCTTTGTGGTAAGTTTCCGGTTCTTCCCAAACCCATGTGCGAAGCTTTTCTGTTGCCAAGATCCCCACGGCACCAACGTAAGAATGGTCAAGTCCCAAGGAAGGAAAAGCGGGCAAGCCCTCTAGGGCTGTGGTCGGCAAAGTGCGGCTCGCGAGCCACATGCGGCTCTTTGGCCCCTTGAGTGTGGCTCTTCCACAAAATACCACGTGCGGGCGCGCACGTACAGTGCGATTGAAACTTCGTGGCCCATGCGCAGAAGTAGGGAAACGACCTGTCTAGGAAGTTTTGCTATTGGCACAGGGGGAGGGGGTCCCTTCTCCGCTGCTCCCTGGATCTTCCCACTCACCAATTCCTTATCTATTTAGGGGTCACTGTCGCGCCTTTCTCTTGCCTGCTGTGGCTTTTCATCCTTCCAGCCCAGATGGGCATCGTGCTACTGTGAGGATCACCACTGAACTTTTCAAAATAAAGCCAAAGGCAGGGCCGCGATGAAAAGGCAGACGGTCTCAAAGCTTTGTAAAGCCTTTGGGCAATTCCTTACGGTTCCTCTCTGCTGGGATGTGATTTACCTTTCAGATGGAGGGTTTTTCCGTCTTCCCTGATATTCTCCTACATCTGAAAGGTTTACTGTGCACGCCCTGGCCGGTTTGGCTCAGTGGATAGAGCATCGGCCTGCAGACCAAAGGGGCCCGGGTTCAATTCCGGTCAAGGGCACGCACCTTGGTTGCAGGCTCCTCCCCGGCCCAGGCCCTGGTCGGGGCGAGTGCAGGAGGCAACCAATCGATGTGTTTCTCTCACATTGATATTTCTCTCTGTCTTTCCCTCTCTCTTCC